ATTGGGGGGGGCTCCACATTGCGGTTGGCCGCAGACCTGGAAGTGGACCAGAAGCACTTCTGGTCCACTTCCGGGTTCACCAGGGAGTGTGGGGGGGGGCCTCCTTAGTGCCCCCTGGGCTCAGCACCTGGTGCCTTCTGGGTTTGGGGGGGTTCCCTGTGTGCTTGGTGGTGGACCTGGAGGTGGACTGGAAGTACTTCTGGTCTACTTCCGGGTTTGCCACCAAGCACGTGGGGAGGGGGCCCGTGCTCCTGTGGGACGCTCCATCTGCCCCAGCATCGCAGCATTCACAAGCCACACCTGGTAGGTACCTCAAGGTATGTAGAAAAAACATTTAAAGCTGTGTCTGTGGCCGAATTGCTGATTCAGTCAATCAGCATCAAACCTTCAGATTTGGATTTGGTCAAATTGAATTGGGGACCATGATCCGAATCAACAAATTGACTTACTGTCCCCGTTTCGGGCTTAATCCGAATCGAATATGGCCCATTTCACGCGACCCTACTTATTAGCCAACATCTAACAAGGTGATGGAGTAATTATTCTAAATTAAAATTTAACATTATCTTTTTGTATAGTATGTTTAACTTAATCACTTCTCAGCCATTTGTAGGCTAAGATCAAGTGTATTACCTTAGAAGAACTCGATTTACCGTGATTACTCTAATACAAGATGAGTTTCCCCTCATTGGCATTGGGGGGAAAACGCCCCTCGTCTTATAACTGCATACTAGGAACTCTTACTAAATATATTGTCTACCCTTAAACTGCTGCCAAAATCAGTGTGTACCCAGCGATGGAAACCGACTAAAAAGTTGATTAAATGCAGCCAACCATGAGTGTGACTCTAAAACATAGGGCCCATATTGGGCAGATATACTGATGGAAACCTACCGTAAGGATAGGTAAGTGCAACCCATCTGAGTAGGTCCATTAAGCTCAGTCCCTCTGACTGCTAACAATTTTTTGTCATGGTAAGCCATGACATTGCTTACCTATATTTCCTCTGTTGGCCCCTCTCTCAGCCTTGCACACATGATTAGTGTGGCCCCACCCTCTATGAGGTGAAGCTGAACCAGGTTGCCCTGCACCTCATTGGCACATAAATTTTTGGAGCATCTGAGAACTCATCACTGAACACCCAGTTCCAGTCATGAATGGGGGCTAATTAGCATGTGGATCCTTTGAGGTGGAAGGGGTGGTGATATATGGGGTATACACACATACTGAGTAGTGCTGAGCTGTGGGGTCACTGTGGAGGGTAGTGCCACACGAATCATGTGCACCAGGCTGAGAGAGGGTGCAACAGAGATTTTGGGAGAACTGTACCTAATGTTATGGGTTAATATGGTTTGAAATGCTGTTCACTCTGGTTAGGCCCAGCACATTGAACTGTATGGCAAATCATGAGCTTTTTGGCTGTGGGTTAATACCATGCAAGGTTTATACTAGATGTAAGCAGGTGCTGAAGTGCTGCTCAAAATTGTATTTATGAAACACCTATGCTAAAACCTACAGCAGTTTCAAAAAAAGGTAACACAAATCAATTCTGACTGAACTAAGCCTTGTGGTACGTTATATGCAAATTGCAACATCCCTGTTTAATTTCAAGGTTATTGTTTTCAAATTTGCTCTTTGCTTCTGTGCTGTCATGGAGGGCAGGTTCTGACAGTGAGGGGTGGGCAAAGGGCCTGCCAGGGGAAAAAGTTTGTGGGAGGGTGGTGGGTGGAAACAAAGGGCCAGCTTATCCCCCATATATTTTCCATATATAGAATCTAGTTATTGTGCGGGGGCAGTGGTGGGGGGTGAGGGTTGTCTTATAATCAGGGCCGTCTTCTATTTGAGTGCGTATGGTAATTTACAGGATCAAACACTGAACAGCTTGGAAAAATAATGTACTAAATGCTATATCATAACTTACCTTTATGCTTTTGCACCAGTTGTTTCAGTGGACTGGAAATGAGGCAACCCTTCAGTATTTAATTTTTGTCTTGTTAGACTAGGAGTTGCTACTAGAATATCTATTGAATACCTGTCAAAATCCAGCAATGAACAGCTGTGCTCATCTTTTTATAATCCTTTAAAAATTATTCATTTGCCTATGGTGGGTAAAATACGGCCCGTGGGCCGGATGTGGCCCATCAGGCCATTCTATCCGGTTCGTGGGGCCCCCAAAACAGTTAGAAAATTATATTTATCTGTTCTGGCTGCCTTTCATGTGGCCCTCGAAAGCTTGCCCAAACTCAATAAGTGGCCCTCCATCCGAAATAATTGCCTGCCCCTGTTATAGACAGTAAAAGTTGGGAAACTGAGCCATGGGCTTTGGAAACATGGGAGTGGGACTGTGCTCTGCCCTGGTGTATTTCTTTGAAATAACATTTGTTTTCAGGTGCTTTAGTCAGTGCTGTATGCCAGAGCCCTGTGGATGTGTGCGTATAGGAGTGCCAAGGGTGGGTCTCCACTGCCTTTCCTCTTCCGTCTGCCCGAGTTTTCATGGGATCTGAGTTTTGCTGCCATTTGCCTCCCCCACCCTGCTCTCTCCCCACTGATTCAGTGGCAGGGAAAAGAGGAAACAAGCTCGTCTTATGGGCTCTGGAGCTTCATCTCCAGAGCTTTCTGGAGATGAAGCTTTCAACATGAGCTTTCCAGAGCTCATGTTGACACACCAGTGACCTCAGAGCTTTCACATGGCACTGGAACCTAGCAGCTGAGTGTTGCTGCTTATCCCTGCTATAAGGGATTCCTATGGCTGAATTAATTTGTTGGGGCAAGGTTGTGAAAGTGGCTGCACTCATATCTTGCGCTCTGGAGCTGGTATGTCTGCATGGGTGAATGCTGCTGTTACTCCTATCCTCCATTCCCCTGTTGCTGAATACAGAAGCATTGACCTGTGCTGACATGCTGTTAATGGACTGCTCACACTGACTTTGCAGGCCGCATCTGGGCCGCAGGCCAAATATTGAGTACCGCTGTTCTAGAAGAATCTTAGCTGAGTTCTCTCAAATAAAAAACACTTGTTAATAAGGTGAGAAAGGAAAAAGATTGCAAAGGTCAATTAACTTGGACCCAAGTACTGTATGTAATTAGGTGACCTTCCAGTCATAGAAAGTTTCAAGGCTTAGTAAAGGCTAAACTGAAAATTGCATAAAGATACAAGCTTGCTGGCCTGATGTCCTTTACTGGCAGCTATGCCTAATACTTTTTTTTTTCCTTTGTAGAATGATATTTCTCTGAAGAAAACCTTATAACTATGCCATAATGAAGTGTGATAAGGCTATATTATTTTACCATTAGTAATAAAAAAAAAATGTTTTTTCCAGATTATTGTTGTATTTGCAGATGATACCAAGATGGAAAGGTTTTGCATGCACTTTGGAAAATATAATTGGACTTCAAAGTCTTGTTGAGAAATAAGGGAAACGTAGCATGAGTGGCTAGGCAGCAGTGTTACAAGGAGGAATCTAGGGATTATAATATATAATGAACTCACAAAACTCATGAATGTTACACATTGCAAAATCCAAGCCCATGCTGTGAGGATATTTATGATGCTTCTGTTTTATGCCATATTCTTGTTTGAGTATCACATATGATATACTCCTGTTTGTATATTTATGTCTGTCTATATGGATGTTTAGAAAATAAAACCTGTGAAGAAAGATTGAAAGGATTGGATTTTTTTCAGTTAAGGGAATAGAAGACTGATGGATGAAAAGAAGTTGTAAACTATGTAAAAGATGATGGAAGAAACAAAGCTTATAAATTGTTCTCTGCATGGGTGAGAACAAAAAGTAGTGGTTTTAAATTGAAACAACAGAGTGTAAATTTAGTAGAAAAACATTCTAATTCCCAAGTAATTAAGACTGGAATTAGTTACCTGGGGAGCTTGTAGATGAAGTAATCTTCATTAGAAGCTTTGTAGAGCAAGACAGACATAAATCTTTTGGGAATGATTTGTGTATAGTTTAATCCTGCTTTAGGGCTAAGAGAGGGACTTCCCTAGGTCCCTTCCATTTCTTTCTTATGATTAGGCAGGAAAACTGCTCTAGAACTCTGATAGCAACAGTAAGACATTTTTGGCTTCTTGTTATGGCATGGGTGAAGGCTAATTAGAAAAAAAGATGACTTATTTTTGCAAACAAGTTCAGAAATCATTTTATAAGATAAGTAGGCATGGATGTGAATCAAAATAAAATGTGAAGCCATAAGTAACAATGTGGTTCACATTTTGGTTTACCAGGGTGTATCCACTTATCACCTAATCACAGTAATTTATTTGTTATTCCTTTTATTTTTCTAGCTTTCAGCTGCCTGTCTTGTAGGTTGGTTTCTGTTTGAGTACCAGTCATGTTGTTGACCTTATTGTCTACTAATAAATAATAGACAGATAGGCTAGAATTGTTGTTAAACTTAATATGCATGTACAAGTCTTGTGAATGTCTTCCTTCTCCTGAAATGGGTACATGCTAGTTTTGGAGTGAGTGAAATGTTGATATTCCATTTACTATTAAAAAACCCCAAAAAACAAAAGAACAAAACCAAATAAATAGATTATGTACTTGATGGTAACTTTTTAATGAAATATTAAAACTAAGAATTGTGTAGGTTGGCTTACTATGTAATAATGCTGAATACCTAGCAGAATCAGATTTTGAAAGAATATGTATAATTTAAAATGTCTTTTTCCTTTACATTTCCAGACACTAAAATAATTATGGTTTATGAGCTCCTGCTCAGCCTGAATGCATACTAAGGCATCTACTAGATATGTTACAGCTGACATTTAACCCCATTGGAGCCTTTATATAGTGTTATGGTAAATTCAGGAGTTTTTAGTTTAAGATATATTTTATGATGCTTGTTCTAATAAAAATGGAATGTATTGTACCACTCCTTTCAGTCTCCATTGGGGTTGACACCAGCGCAGGGTATATGCTTGTGCAGTGATCTATTATAGGCATGGACGACAGACCAGAGGGGAGAGTGTTTAAAATAAATAACACACACACACACACACACACACACACACCTGCTTATAATATCATATATATTATACAATTTATATTATAATAATAATATCATATGATATAATATAGGCAGACAAGGTTCTTTGGGTAAATGTGATGTCTTTTATTAAACTAAATTGTTGGAAAAATTGTTCTTTTAAAAGCTTGTGGGCACAAACATCCTTCTTAAGTCATATATCCACCCACCCATCCTTTTCTTCTCTGGTCTGTTCCTGTAATGAATCACTGCAGTAGCGTATACTTTATCGCTGCACTAATGTGTGTGTATGTTTATATATGCATATGCGTATATATGATTATTAATAACTGATTTTTTCCCAGGGCATCAAGATTATTCATGCTTTGTTTCCTCATTTTAAAAATGCATAGATGTGGATCACAGGAGGACATTGAATTCTCTTGTAATATTTTGAGGGAATTATGATTAAGTAGCTTTATACAGTGGTAAATGGAGTAAATTTCAATAGCAGTACGATTTGTGGTATTACATGAACTGTATGTCAATGTTGTTGCAGTGAGGAGGACATGTATCGTGATGCAGAAGAAATAGAGAGAGAAAAAGTATTACTTGTTTGTGAGAGAGGCTCCACAGGTACATATGACTTTCATTTATGGCATTTCACACAACAGAATAGCTTATAATACTGTTAGTTTATATAGCTTTGTTTCCTTCATCCCCAAAGATTTTGCTGCTCAAATGTATACATGCATTGTAGATGCATCTCACAGTGGAGTACAGCACAATTTTTTTTTTTCATCCTAAATTCTGTTTCATGTTGAATCATGTTTCAGATTACCCAGTCTACCTAGTCTTTTTTCTTCAAAGTTATTTTGACCTGATAGAAAGTTGCTATTTGTATATTATGCAGGTACCTTTTGTGTAAAAATGTAACATTTTAGCAAATACTACTAACCAGTTGACAATATGAAAGGGTCTGTCATTGGGAGTCCCTCAGGAGTGCCCTTGTTTCAGTGCCTATGATCTGAAAGGAAGCCACTGGAATTCCCATGAAGTTTTGTGTTCCTCACCTCTTCTGGGGAAGCTAATTTTTCCCATCTTTCTTGCTTGCTTTCCATCATGCTTAACATGCCCTATGTAAATATGGAGTGTCTTGTGTGTGTCTCTATAATTTAACTGCTGAAGTGAAGAGAAAAAGCTTTCCTGCTGCCTTTTTTGACTGCTGAAGTGGTGGGAGAGCCAACTGGTCTTTTCCTTCTGCTGCTTTTTGGGGTCATGGGGCATCTTCTTCACCACCATCGTATCTTCTCCTTGTACACTGATTTCTGGAGGGTTTTTTTTCCTGTCAAATACTAACAGGAGATATGTTAGCTAGGCAATATGCTAGTCAGCTGCTTTTAAATCGGTAACTATTTTCAACTAAACTAGAATTTCTTGAAGTACTAGATATAACCACTACATAATTGAGTTGTTTCATAGTTCCTCTTTGATCACATGTGATATGCGCATTATATTAATCTCAACAGAAAATAAGCTAAGTGTTGCACCTGAAATGGATATCGTGGAGTACTGCCAAAAAGAGTGGAGAGGAAATACACCAGTGGCAAAACTTATGAAAAAGGTATAATAACTTGTTTTTCTTTGTAAGGTTTTTTTGGTAGTTTCTGCAGAATAGATACTTGCCAGATTTTGGCCTTAATGGGTTTTATGGCTTTTCTTTTTCTTATATTAATTTTAAGGTGCACAGTGTTTCAAACAGAAATACAGTAGCAGAAGGTAGAAGTAGTAAGTTAGGTGGGGTTGTTTAATTAGTCCCTGCAACATCCATTTGAAATTCTTATTAATAGAATATATGAATAAACATCTATATGCGAACATCTTTGCAATTTACTGTTACCCAGAATACCCATATTTCACATTCCAGGGCTGGAAAGAAACAAAGCCAAATCTTTACTTCAGTTGCAAGTGTATCACCTGAATAGGGAGGACACAAAATCCAGGATTATGGGGCTCTTTAGGTAAACAAAGGAGAAAGACGGACATCTTCAGCATAGAAAATTATACTTTAACCATGCGTTTTCTGTTAAGCAGAACTTCTGTGTATTTGAGGAGAGTGGAAGTATTTATATGTTAAAATCCATCTGTGCAAATACAGTTCTTCCCCTGGGGTCAAGGGAGAGAGAGAGCTATGGGTGTTTCTTTACTTCTGGGAGGCGCTCATAAAACAGTGATGCGGGCAGCATTAGAACATAGAGAACTTCTTTATCTTAAATCTCTTGTTCTTAATCTCTACCTATTTTGTTTGTATGGGGTCATACACAAGAAGGAATTTTTAAAATGGGTTTTAAGAGCCTTTTTGCTTACTTTTAGCATTGTTAATGACTTTGCAGGGGGCTTGAAGTATTCTTGGGCTATATTCTAGTTTTGAAACTTCTTTCAAGGTAAGAAAGCAGAATTTGACCTATGGACTTCGTGGCTTGATGGACTGCAGTTCAGGCACTGTCATAGGGGACACAAAATAAAGCAGAATGTGTTTAGGCATCTTGTTTCAGAGAAATTGTTCTTTTTCTGCCCATGAGTGCAGTGTTGATGTTGACTGGACATATGGAATAATTTTTTGGAAAAACTATCAAAACTTAGGGGTTCACTGATAAAGATTTTTTTTGGCTGATACTGATGGCCAATTATTAACCAGCCATATTAGCCAATGCCAATTGGATAGCCAATAGGCAGCAAAGCAGCTTGGAGAATAGCGTCCTGCTGGTAAGCCTGTGGGAAGAAAGGGATGTGGGGGAGGGGGCAGATCTAGGCCCCCATGGGGAGGAAGGGAGGGAGTGGGGCTGGGGCAGGGGCAGGCGCTGCCCAGACAGGGTGTGGGACTGAGTGGCTCCTTGCCATTGTGCGCACCCCTGAGGGAGGCACGGGGGGGCATGTGCCCTCCAGATTTCTGCACTAGGGAAGGCAGGTTGCCCACTGCTGGCTTAGGGCCAATGGCTACACCAACCTCTTCGCAGCAAAGGGGCTGGGAGGGAGAGCTATGAGGTGGACTACAGTCACCCCCAAATTCGCTGTAGCTTTGCCTCCCAGTGCTGCTGCTGTCCTACCCCCTCCTGCCCCAAGTGCACTCCCGGCCCAATCCCCACTGGGAAGAGGCTGATGCAGCCCACCCTCGCCCATCCCCCACCCCCCATTCCCCCTGGATGAGCAACTCGCAGCTCTGCCCTGCACCCTGCTCCAGATCACTGCCCCCACAGTGAAGTAGGGAGTGGGGCTGAGGCAGGTGCTGCCCAGCCAGGTTGGGGCGGGCGCGGGATGGAGCCATGACACGTCTAGGGGGTAGGGGAGTGACTCCCACCACTGCGAACACTCCGGGAAGGCATGTGGAGGGGTCATGTTCCCCTGGATCTGCGCGGGGTGGGCTGTGGCTCTCGGGCTGAGCCGGGCTGTGCACAGGGCGGGTGGCGGCAGTTCTGGGAGGGGGGCTATGGCCCAAATTTTGCAACCCCCCCCATAGCCCATCCTCGTGTCACTACCTGCCCCGAGCACAGCCCTAGCCCAAACCCTGCCCCCTCCCCCACACACTGAGAAGAGCCTGGAGCAGCCCTGGCCCCAGCCTGCAGCAGCAGTGCACCCTGCCCCACCCTGCGCATATCTAAGGGCATGCCTTCCCATGTCCTCCTGGGGTGCACACAGTGGTGGGAGCTTCCCTGTCCCTGCACTCCCCAGACAAGCCACGGCTCCATTCTGTGCCCTGCCCTGTCCCATCTGGGCAGCGCCTGCCCCAGCCCCATTCCCTCGCTGTCGGGGGCATTGATCTGCCCCCACCTCCACACCCCTTCCCTCCTCCCTCCTCTTCCACCACCACAGACTTATCAGTTGCACCAAGCTGCCGGGCTGTGCGTCTCGCTGCCCGCATGCTGTGCTGCAGCTGCACACACGCACAGGCATTTATCGGCTGCATTAGGCCAATTTCCGATACAGTCAATTTTCTTTATATTGTTGTCGATCCGATATCAGTGCACTTCTAGTAACAAAGAATGTTTTTGTAGGGTTGAACTGTTTTTACCTGTGATGGCTAAGGAAATATAACCAAAACCCCCTTGCTTTTGCATATCTTTTCTTGAACAACTTGTAGAGTTGGGAGAGTTGCTAGACAAGTTTTTTGGGCACCATGTGTGAATGGTATCCTTTTAAGCTCATTTGCATTTGTTAGTTTTCCTTAATTGTGCACTTGCCTGTTTTAAAACTGTCTTCTGCAATCAAAATTACCCTTTGTATGGAGGTAAAGGGCTGTGGTGGTGTTATGTGACTTGAGTATATCTATTCAGTAGAAATAAAAATGACCTGCGTAGGAGAATCCAGGATTTTCTCAAAACTCCTGTCAGCACAGTTCTCAGCACTGTTATAGACCAGTAACAACTACTAGAACTTCTGTACTCATGGACAACACATTCTCCACCTTGTTTTGACCATCCGCATTGTTTTTGGTCAAAGTGTGTTAGATCACATTCTTGTTTGGGAGACCTTTGTAAAGAGTTAGGAAGGAAGGAGATCTCTTGCTGTGGATTTTGCATGTAGGGATGATAGCAGGGTAAATAGTATATTTAAAAATGCAGAGGAAAATGGAGATACTGTAGTAGTATTATTATGTAGTTTTCTGTTTTGTATGAATTTTAGAGGAAATGCATTTTCAGCAGTTCAAATTAAGCCATTTTAATTGAATATTGTAAATACTGAAAACAACAGTGCAGTGTTAGTACAAGCTTCTCTGTTGTGTGCTACTAATGAGTCATATATTGGACCACTGACATGTTTGCTTAAAGGCGTGATGGGATCTGATCCGTGATGCTGGTAATCATGTAATCCTGCTATGTCTCATGTAAATGGAAAGATGTGATTTTTGGCATCAGGGTTCAGATCCCCAATTATACCATATTGCCCTGGATTGGCAACTTAAAAGCCAGATGCCCACAATCAACTGACTGTTAGCTGGGGCCAGGGACCAAGTTGGGGTCTAGAACTGGCCCCAGCCAACAATCAGCTGATTGCTAAAATCCCAGCTCAGTGGCTCACGTAGTTTTTACAAGTCCTGACATATGGGGATCAGAGAGATTCTCCCTCATCCCAGGCTCCTGTTGCCGTTGCAACTTTAAAAAAAAAAAATCATACATGCAGCTGGGCTGCACAAGCAGTTCTCTGACATTGAGTGCGTGGAGATATCCTTAGGATCATGGTAGCACCCACATCTTCCTCTGGGGCTTGAGCAGAGGTCCAGGGTCCTGGTTCTGTCCCAGACCCTGGGGCTGTACCAAGCTGGATCTTGACACTTAGTTGAACAGTGGGATCTGTCATAGACCAGTCTCAACCAGCTATATGTTTAGTTTAAGTCATGATACAAACAAGCCACAAAGTTGCTACATGTTATATGTGGAATAACTTTGAGGCTTGTTTACTGTATTATCATGCCTTAAATTGATTTGAATATGTGTCCGGGTTGTTCTTTAAGGTGCAGTTAACTTTTAAATTAATGTGTCAGGGGCCTTGGCGAGGACACCAACAGTTTGTAGAAGGCTATTTTAGGTTCATTCTCCATGTTTTGATTAACATGTCAGTTATGATAGTTATATGCCTTTTAATTTACTTAGCATCTATAGACCTCTTGTGATACCGATCTTCAGAGGGCTAGGGTTCAGACCAAGCAGTCTCACCAGTCAGCGTGAGCTTTCTGTTAAGCTTTTGTTTTTGATATATAAAAATTATTTGTTACAGCTATTGAGCAGAACAGAACTGTGTATTGTGTTTCTTTTGCATAACTTGTCCTTATACATTTGTTTCAGAAGTATTTGACTATTTTATGTGGAGTAGTGGAACAAAATGTATTGTCTCTTTTAAATGGCTCTAAAATTTTCTCTCTTGATACAGACATGTGAATTGGAATGAAGGAAAAAATGTTTTTGTGTTTATTTGCGTAATCAATTTGGGGTTTTTTGTTTTGTTTTGTTTTTAATAGGGATATGAAGCAGTTTCTCAGAAATTTGCCTGTATAAGGAGAGTAAGAGGTGATAACTATTGTGCTCTCAGAGCAACGCTATTCCAGGCACTGAGCCAAGCTACTGAACAGCCTAACTGGCTCCATTCAGAGGACTTAATGCTGGTATGCTTCATGCTTACAATAGATCTTCTGCTCAAGAGAAAATACAATTTCTTACTTTTGGATAATGCATACTATATTATATGAGCACTGCTCTCTTTCAGTTTTAAAGATTGGAGGGAAGGGGGAAATTGGGGCATAGAAGAAGAGATCCGTAAGGTATCTTTGCTCCAAAGGCTAACACCTGGGCCACAAACTGTCCATCCATCTTGACCTGTTCTTTCTACACTTTATTTTAGTGTCTGTAGTATGACAGTCAGTATTTGGAAATGAGTTAGATTTACTGGAGAATTCAAGGAAGTGAATCTATAGAAGTGTTCGTAATTTTAAAAAATGTGCACTTCCATTGCCCAACCTTGACAATTTATAAACAATTATTATAATTGAACATTTGCTTTGAAACTGTAGTCTTTTGGTAATGGGAATTATGGGAAAGTTAGGTTGAGTCCCTGCTTAGCAGCTTTGTTATTTATTTACCTACAATGCTAAGTTCTCTTCACCACATCAGGTAAGTGGTATATTAGTGAAGCTTATGTCAAAATGATACTGTTCTATTTGTGTGAATTGCCAGACATCTGCATTTTTTGCTTCACCAGCAGGAAATTATCTCCTTGAAAAGAAGGGTTGTCTACTGAAAGTTGTTCAAATTCTTCAGCCTAATACATCAGGTTCAGAACTTGTGACAAATGATTAATTGTCTATGAAGTTGGGTCAGTACTATCCTGTGGTGCTTGACTGTGAACTTAGCTATATTACCATATTTTCTTGAATACTACACACCCCCAAATAATGTGAACACCCTTTTTTTGGAAGGCAGAATGAATTGAGAGTTTTGGTTTTATTTTTAGTCTTGGCCAAAAGCTGACCTCTTGGTTGGGGTAGAGCTTGCTCTTCAACTCGCATACTTTCACTCTCCTGCTCAGACAAAAGCTAGAGTTCTAACCTTCTCACAACCATGGCCCTATAGGCAGCAGCTTTGGCTGCTTAGCCAAAAGCTACTACCAATTTGGCAGCAGCTGAGAGGGGATTATAATGTATCTCTTTATGTTGAAGTGTGGACTCCTGCTGCTCCTTGGTGACCGGTAGAGAAGTGAGGGAAACTCCCTAGACTTCCATTCTGGCACAGAAACAAGCTGCCCTGCTTCAGTCACATACCCTAGTGTTGCAGGACTAACTTCTGGTGGGGAAAGTTGCCTATGGTATGTAAGTTAACATGGTATTTGCTAGTTGGGAAGGTTTTTTTACCACTGGATTATATCTCCAGTAGTGACAAGACAACTAGAAGGGACTTCTTTTAAGTATTTTCTCTACTGATGACTCAACACACATCATCTGGAAGCAGAAAATTCTGTATTACCCAAATTGAAGATGACCCTGAACTGAGGATGATTGTCTCCCATTATTAAATTCTGTTCATGGCAAATTTATGAATTTGTCATCATTTTCTGTGTATAGAATTTAATTATTGGAGAATTAAAATTGGCAGTCTTAAATTCTTTTCCCCCCACAACTGTAACACAGAAAGCAGAGGGAGTGAGGGAAGGTAGTAAGTTGTGGTGTGGGGAGGCAGTGTGAGGGGGAACAAGTAGTGGAGAGGAGACAGGTGGGGAGGGGGAGCAGGCATTGGGGCTTGCCCTTCTACACGCACCTTGCCCCTGTTGCCTGTCTGCCCCTACCACTTGGCCCCTTGTACCTGCCACTCCCTCCCCTAGCCTGAGGTCCCCATCTTCTCCCTGCCCCGCATTAGCCTCCTCCCTTTGAGCTGCCTCTGCTCTGGGGCCAAGCTGGAGCTGGGGCAAACACGCAAGCACTATGTACTGGGCTGCAGTTGAGGCTGAGCCAGCTGGAGCTGGAGCCTAACCAAGAGTTAGCACCAGAGGGGGACTGAAGCAGGTGAGGGGCAGAGGTTTCAGGGTGGGGGCAGAAGGGCGAGGTCCAAGGCTGTAGTGAGGGCAAGCAGCAGTTGCTGCTCTGGCTCTGACCCTGTAGCAGCTGCCTGCCTCCCCCTATTGCCTCGTGCTCAATTCTAAGACAAGAAGCTTTTTCCCCCCGTATTGAATGGGGGGAGAGGGTGCGCCTCAACTTGGAATCAAGTAAATACAGTACCTGCTAACATGTTTTCTGAGGAATGGTTTCAAAGAGAAAATAACCTGCATGCATTTCTTAATCGGGTTGTGACCGTTTTTATTTTTGGGTGGCTTTTTGTTTAATTTTAATACTGTTTTTGCATTTTTCTTCTTTAAAATACTGATGCCTTAAACTATATATCATGATTTTTTGCCCTATTTTATAATGAGGTGGTTTACTAATGTGTTCTGCTGAAATATATTCAGTAATGATTGTGAAGACAGCAGTAGAGTATGTATGTGCAAGGAAGATAAATGGAGTAGTAGTTAGCAAGACTTTCCCTCCCTCGGTTGTAAAAAGTATGTGTGTGTTAAATACAAACGTTTAAAATCTCTTCTGTTATAGGATAGGGCATTAGTTTGCAGCCTTCATTCGTGAGTCGTACCCCCCCCCCGGCTGTTCTCAGTTAAAGGATAGAATTAAAATAAATGAATGCCACCAGATCCTACCTACAAAATGCGTTTGTTAGTTAATTAGACAAATGTAATACTTCCGTTTTTTTTTTTTTAATTGTTTTATGCTGGAACTTGAGGAATATTTAAAAAGGGGTTAAGATTATCGAGTAGTTCTTGGTAACTATTAGGGCTGTGCGAAGCTTTGGTAGCCTATTTTGATTCGGAGGAGAATCCGGCCTCATTCGGCAGCCGAATCAAATTGAGAGACCCATGAAAAGGTCAAAATCTGTTCGGAAGCATCTGAATCAATTCAGAAGGCAGGTTTGCAGGAAGCAGAAACTGAGAAGGGGTGGGAGGGGGAGGGGAGACTGCTCTGATATTGACATCTGTAGCTGGACAGTGACTGTGATCTTTCTCCGAGTTCCCTTCCAATCACAGTTCTCTGGGGGAAGGGTGTAGAAACAACATATAAGGCTGTGTGTGAAGTGAGCTGTGCCTTTTGTGAGCTGTCTCTCTCTTGGACCAGCAGCGTCTGAAAGGCTCTGGCTTGCTATCTAGTCTCTTGGTAGCTAGCTAGTCTCTATTCTTCTGTGTTTTTCTCTGACAGTGTGCTTTCCTGTACAATGACGACACAACATATCTCTCTCTCTCTCTCGCACACGCACACACTTCGCAGCACACCAAACATTATGAAGCGTCATGGGTGACTTTAACCTCTCAGACATCTGGGAGAAACAGGCAGCCAGGTCTGCCCGTTCACGAAGGTTTCTAACCTCCTGACAGGACCTTCATCTATCACAGGAGGTACGCGTTCCCACTAGGGGAAATGCCTTACTAGACTTAATACTGGCCACAGGGGCTGACTTGGTAGGGGATCTGTAGGTGCAAGGTAACCTAGGGGATAGTGACCACCTATTGATAAGGTTCACTGTCTGGAGAAAGGTGGGGAAGATAACTAATAGGGTGGAAGTGCTAGACTTCAGGAAGGCCAACTTCAAGAAGTTCAGGAGATTAGTTAGGGAAGGACTGACTGGTAAAAGCCTTGGAGAGATGGGAGTCCAGGAAGGGTGGGCGTTTCTCAAGGGACTAATCCTGCAGGCACAGAAAAGGGCCATCCTAGTACACCTAAAAGGGGGTGAAAAAGCAAAGAAACTCTCTTGGTGGGGCAGGGAAATCCAGCAGAGCCTGGAGGGATAAAAAGAGGCCTACAGGTTGTAGAAGCAGGGGGCTGCCACCAAGGAGGAGTATACCTACTTGGCTAGAGCTTTCAGGGAAGCAGTGAGGAAAGCCAAAGTGGACATGGAGCTTAGGCTGGCAGCAAAAGTTAAGGATAACAAAAAGTCATTCTTTAAGTACATAGGAAGCAAAAAGAAGGTACAGGGTAGCTTAGGGCCCCTTCAGGATGAACTAGGGCAACTGGTAACAGATAGGATGGCCAAAGCAGAGCTTCTAAATTATTTCTTTTCATCTGTGTTCCTGGACATGAATACAAATACACATCCCATTGGGACCTTAGGTAAGACCAGTATAGATACCAACCCACCAACTGTTTGAGCTGACCTACCAAAGGGGCACCTGGAGGGGTTGAATGTATTTAAGTTAACAGGTTCTGATGATCTTCATCCTAGGGTGCTTAAGGAATTAGCTGGAGTCATAGCGGAGCTGCTGGCACAACTGTTTGAGCACTTGTGGTGCTCAGGACAGGTCCCAGAGGATTGGAAAAGGGCCAATGTGGTCCTTATTTTCAAGAAGGGGAGGAAGGAGGAACCGGGTTAACTATAGGCTGGTTAGTCTCGCCTCTATCCTTGGCAAGACCTTTGAGAAAATTGTTAAGGATCACATTTGTGGGGGACCAGTGGGTAAAATGATGCTAAGGGGCGATCAGCATCCTGCCTGACTAACCTGGTTTAATTTTATGACCGGGTCACAAAATGCTTGAATGAAGGCATAGAGGTAGATGTTATTTATTTAGATTTTAAAAAGGCCTTTGACACAGTGTCACGCCCCATTCTTATAAATAAACTAAACAGTTGCAATGTAGGTTATTACACAGTCCGGTGGGTAGAAAACTGGCTTATGGGATGCATCCAGAGAGTGGTGGTGGATGGGTTGGTTTCTACCTGGAGAAATGTGGGCAGCAGAGTCCCCCAAGGCTCTGTCCTGGGACTGGTACTATTCAATATCTTCATTAGTGATTTGGACGAGGGAGTAGAAAGCACCCTGTCCATTTTTGCTGATGACACCGAACTATGGGGGGAGATGCACAAATTAGACAGCAGGAGCGAATCCAGGCTGATTTGGACAGGCTGGGGGAATGGGCCGG